CGGGTCAAAAACGATGGGACCAAATTTCCCAAGCTTACCGAAGCTCTGGCTGTAACACACGACGAAACATATGGTACTGATGAAGACATGGTCTTCATTGTTCCTCGCAATGACAACATCCTGATCTTAGGCGGTAAGGCCTTGCACTTTGATGAGTTGCCCTCCCGGGTTGCTGATGAGTCTCCAGGTATTACGGAGCCTCATGAATGGAACCTCAACCTCACCGTTGACACACCTGTCATCAAGCGCATGCGCGAGCGATGCAACGCATTTGTCCCTGGATTGGAAAATGCTGAATACGATGACGAGACTCAGCTCTTACAAGGTCTACGACCCTTCCGTGGCTCTAATGTGAGAGTCGAACGCGAGACTAGAACCAGAAAAGATGGTTCGGATAGTCGTATCATCCATACCTATGGACAAGGTGGATCGGGATTCTCGTTATCATTTGGATGTGCTGCATCGGTGAGTCTGAAGTTACGGAGCCTTGTGTAAATAATACTGAGACCCCATGTTCCAGGTTCTCAGTCTTCTCCAAGAAATTGAGGCTTCTAAGCCGCCAACCAAGATGGAAATTTTGAGTGGACAGATGGAAGGACTAAACTTGGCCTGCCATTGATTGATCATTTTTTATTTTTTTTATTTTTCTGTTTTGCTATTCACGAATTCTCGGATCTTCATTTTGTATAACTGCGAGTTTATTTCTGTTGTCCTGTATTCTCGGACTGAATGTTGCTCTATGTATGTCCATACGCCAAATAAATGTTGTGCTTAAAGTCGGAACTAGCTTCCGCGGATCTTCATTCACATTGATTTCAAGCTCATGAGAAGAGCAGCATATAAGGAATCAAAGCCCTATGAATGAAAGTTGTCGCCGCCGATATTGTTTTAAGACTGCATGCTTGACACCTCTATTGCCGGTCAACCCGCACCTTCCCGTGCCCATTCATCTGCTGTAATCTCACCATATGCCTTAAAAGGAAATGTGCTTCCCTATCGTAAAACACTTTGTATAGAGTATATCGGAGTCCTGGAGAGATAACAACTATGTTGAGCAATGCGATAAGACTATGTTGAGCAAGACGATAGAACCAGCTTTGACCAGATGACGTATTAACATTCTAATTCCTCCGTTTCCAAGTACCTCCGTCACCTTGGGTGAAAATGCGATGAGTATCGAATCACGGGAATAATTTCAGATCAGCATTAGTGCTTTCAAAGCATATACATTCGCGCCTATCCACACAACGTTTGTGCGATTTCAAATTCCCGCCTTCGCAACTGCCTGGCGAAGTACTGTTCATGGGGTTTGCGGCTCCTCTGAGACTATTGCGGGCTCTTCGATAATCCATTTTCCAAGGTGCGCTCGGACATTAGATCCGGTTCTAGACTTCCAACGTAAGTGCGCGAATTAGACACCGATGAGGTCGAGGAACGTTGAACTTTATAATATCCTGGATTCTGATGCTTTGGCTATGCTTAGATGCGGACCATCGAGATGTCAAAGGAAAAACTGAACGACAGGAGACGGCAGGCAACGACGAGTTCCTTTCAGAAATTTAATAAAGAAGATTCGAGGCCTCACCCTGTTCGACTTCAAAGATGCGCCGGGCGCGGGGGCCCAAACTCCAGGTGGGAGGACTAGAATTCAGGGTTCACCCGAGTCGTCTGCGTACATGACAGCATGTCAGGTAGTTGACACTGAACAAAGGACATCTTTTCAAGTAACTGAACTTGTGGTCTATGACATTGAATTGGCGTTCATTATACTACCTCAAAAGTCATTTGGGTCCCAAGTTATGATCATTCTAATTAGCTCAAGGTTCAGCTGCCTAAGAACATGATTCACGCAGATGTCCAGTGATGAAACACGGGCAGAACGAGAATACAAAAAGAAACAATTTGGAGGACACGAGGGGGTCCCGCGATGGTCGTTGTACCCAACAATGAAAGAACAATTTGATGAAACAGAATTTAGACGATGGGGCTCTTCATCGAAGGCAGTGTGAGTACTTTGAAGATAGTCAATCAGCGCCATGCCCTTCATCTGGGGGCGAATGAATTCAAGTACTCGGGTACATGAATCGCATACTTCATATAGCATATGTATAATTTCAAACGAATACAATTGGCGTCCCGCATCAAGCCTTGATGTTCCCAGAATACTCCAATCACAATTGAGTAGGAGTTTTGTTGAGAGCGAAATTCGCAGGCACATGCTAAAAGACTTGTCGACATCAAGCAGGGTAAGGTAGGGTTATTAGCGGCTTCAAGTCATCAGGAACTTTTCCCCAGTTAAGGCAACATGAAGCCTAAATGGATTTCTGTCGTGCACCTTGACCGTCACGATCACCGACGATGGCACGAAACTTAAACCGTACTCCATTTAGGAACGATACATCGTCGGACGAGCAAGGACAGTAAGTATTCAGTCTGCTCATTGAATCGTCATGTTCGACAAAAGATCGTTATAATTGAGAGACGAAGTCTGCACACCTGACGATTGGCGAGTGGTCATTAGGTATATTCCCGGATGCTTCCGTAGTCTAGTCATACATTTAGCAACAATTGTAGCGGAACTGAAAGTAATAGCAATCGAGAACAGGCCGTGGGCGTTCTCCTTGATAGTGGGCACCAGAACGTACCAAATCTGGCAGCTTTCAGACCTATAGAATTCCGTTCTGACAGGAGAGAATTCAATTACATGTCCGGGTATGCAGATGACCATGATATCTATTTTCACGCATCCGATAGTACTCCATGGTGATCAGCGTTTGTTTTCCGTACTTGAGTGTTTGTTTTCCGTTTGCTATCAGTTCCAATAACGGCATCTTCCAATTGCAACAGCGGTAAGAGACATCTCCCGCACTTGTAAATTGTTCATAAGTATCAATAGCCGGCCAATGCGGTGGATGGTACCTTGTGGCGAGAATCCAACTTATTCACCCACTAACGCCAGTTTTTGGATATCAAACGCAATGATCGTTGAGTGCCTGAGTTCTATGCCAGTCGAGCGCCGAGAACCTCCAGTTAATGAATTTACTGAGTCCAGACGGGGCCTCCCGAAATTTCGACGCTCACAAATACGTTCGGCTTTCTCAATGAATCCGCACGCATACATTTATGTATATTATACTACGATCAACTGAGATCTGAATTGTGCATTTGAACAAAGAATATGGAGATAGACGGGAAGAAACAGTAAACCGACTCTCGGCGAGGCGCGCGGGTGAATACGGACGTTTTACGGCTGCAGTAGCTGTCAGCGTGGATCTGGCGGTAGACGATTTGTTTCCCAATGTAAAACTTGAAAAGGAAAACCGCATGACCTCCACTGGCGACTTACTTTGGTTTCATTCCAGATCCGTTGTTGTGGCTTGCCTAGCTCCCTGCTTTTTCCTTCCTTGTTCTTCAGTTGATCTTCATGAGACTGTCATGGTTCTCACCGGTTTCATTCTTCCTCACTGCAAGTCTGTAACCACACATGAAGCTGCCGAGAGACGAAAACGTTGCAGATGCTCCCCTAAAGTTATTGCACGTAGTGGAGTGATTTGCCCATTGTCAGGGGGAAGATGTTCACGGATGGACCGGGAGCGTTTAGAAGTGTTCCGTTTCAGTCAGTTGCGAGCTCATCTGGTACTCCTGCCAATAGTCGATTCCTGGAGAGCGACGATGTGTACCTCATCGGGGTAATGCTGGCATTGATCGGTAGTAAGTACGTTGTGCACTATCCCTTCTAAGAGATCTCTTTCATTTTCAACCCCAATCGCATCTCAGGTACAAAGGAGATTGAACATAGGCGTTCATGTTAGCTCAGATTGCTTGAAAACGTAGGGAATGAATGAGCCGAATTAACCGCTTGCGGTTAATCTTTGACCCTTATTTGGAATTTAAAACGCCATGCATTTTCTTTCGTAACTTACTAACTAGATTCTTTGTGGATAAATCGCAGATTGATACAGCATTTTTTCAAAATTTGAGGTAAGATCTGATAGATCACATACTTAAGTTCTCATACGAAGTAAAAATCTGACTTTCAATCTTCGGTAAAAGTTTCTTAAGAATGTTTATGCGGAATCTTGAAATGTTTCGGAAAAATTTACAAGTAACTAGTTTGTCAGGAAATAGCCGAACGCAGGATACAAGGTAGGTGAACACTCAGCAAGCGTCAGGGAAAAAAAATCGCGTTTACGGAAGCCAGGGGGTAGGGATCTGAGACAGGTCTCAAACACGCCTCGAGGAATCTGAAAATATCAATACATGATAGCTAATAAGACAGTTAAATCCTCAGTAATCACAGCACACCCATTAGGTATTTTCCTATCGCTACTAGTATATGAGTTTTCAATCACCGTCACCACCACTTACCATTCGTTGTTTTATCCTCATACTCTACACAATGTGGCGCTTTCACAATCATGCGTAACCCATAGCTGAGGAGCAGCACCAGAGTCTAAAATTAAACAAGAGTATAACATAGTGCGGTGGCGTTAGCAGTCAAGAACTGGTAACTCGTGAAGATCAGTGAAAGAAGCAGTAAAAACATAGTATATATAATAGCGATAAGCCGCAAGCCACAAATGTACAGTAAAAAAAATTTAAAAAACATATATCAAGAATGAAACCCTTGGAAGCGCATATTCGAGGCCTCAATGTCAAGTTAGATTGTTCGAACTGAAGATTAATCGAGCGCGAATGAAATACACAAATAAGAAGCAAGGCCAAAGAGCTGTGGTCGGACTTGAATGTAAAGATATCTCGTATGAGGAAAGTGGGGGGGAGGAAAAGACGTCTACTCACCAACGTGGGTGGTGGACAACCACGATTGATTGAGTAACTTTAACCGATCCGACAGGAGAATCCACAGGCACAGATGCATAACTTGAAGTACACATCACATCAGACCAGTCAAAAACTTCACTTGAGGTCATGTTCGCATTGTGTAAGAAGAAAACAAGACAGTAACAGGGTAAGGAAAAAAGAACCCTCACAATTGGACATTCCGACACGGGGAATCGAACCCCGGGCTATCGCGTCAAACTCTCGTGACACCATTCAATGAGAGGCGATAATGTTAGCCACTACACCATATCGGATTCGGTAAAGGTTCCTCAAGACCCTTGTTCCCGTAGAAAATGGTTCAGGCGAACAAAAAGAACCAGTCTTTCTTTCTTTTCTTTAATCTTCTGCCCCCCCCCCCCCCCCCTCCCTCCAAAAAAAAAGAATCCCTTCTTTCATCTAAGTACATTGTACAAGGGAAAAAAAAGGCTAAAAAATGCCAAGAGTCCAAACTCAACAGCAAAGTTCAAGGCTAAAAGCAGTAGCTTAAGCTCTTACTCAGTACTTAGCATGCGGTAGGATTAGCCTAGTAAAGAGAAAAATAGAATAAGCCGCGGCCAGGAAGGATACAAACTAAAAATAAAGTTAGCTCGTGATGAGCCTGCGGTACAGGAAACTTAACCCAACCCAAGCCAATGATCAATCTCGACCGATGGCATTTGTCTCGAGTCTTGACAGTCATCACTGCCACTGGTTACTAGTACCTTCAAGCCTACCATTAGGCAATAGCAAGCGGCCTACATAGTACTTACAAACAAAACACAGATACTTGCTTCAACATGATTGATCGACTCTGACTGTTCCACCACGAGAATCCATCATAAACAAGTACATACTGCTCCGGCATACGCACACAAAAAATCACATCGAACCAGTTCAAAAATGGTGAACCACTCAAAATCATGTTCGTATTCAAGAAAAAGAAAGATGGTAAGAAATGAAAGAAAATAAGAAAAACAAAAGAACATATTCTCAACCTTTCGGTTATTCCGACACGGGGAATCGAACCCCGGGCTATCGCGCATCTATACATGGTTTTCAGTCCCTTGCTTAATGAGAGGCGATAATGTTAGCCACTACACCATATCGGAATCCAAAACATGCCCTGCAGACCCTCCTTCACACAAAGTACGTTGTCGACCCGAGAAAGAAAACTATTTTATACTTCATATTTGTCTATATACGACCGCCCACCTCCCAATCACCGCTCACCGCTCACTGCTCTCATCTATGTACACATTGTACACAACACCAAGTAAAGTAAAGTAAAGGAAAGTAAAGAAAAAAAAGGACAAAAGGCAGAGTCAAAAGCGCAAGTTCAAGTTCAAGTGAAGCTAAGAGCAATAACCCAACGTAACCAGTCGGTAGAGTTTGAGTAGAAGCGGCGCGCGGGAAAAGAATAGGATAGGAATAAAGCACAGTTAACTCGTCAGTTATAACGACGGGAACCTACCCGACTCCATCCTCCGCCTCGACAACCACCCTTCCCTACTTTTACCCAATTTTCACTCCTAACCCACAACTCACGCAGGCAACCGCAACCCCAAATTATCCGGAACCGCAAGGGTAGGGTCAATCTGCGAACTCATATGACCGCCAAACCTAAAAAAAACAAACGAAACGACGCCCGATAAACAACGCAAAAGAAAAACCCAATTCCAAAAAAAAAAATCAACCACTCACCCAACAGCCCCATCGCCCTTCCTAAACCTCTCAATCCTCGCCTCGACTTCGGGCCTGAAATTCTTCATGAGACCTTGGATAGGCCACGCAGCGGCGTCGCCTAGGGCACAGATTGTTCGGCCTTCGACTTGTTTGCTGTATTACGCAGATGTGAGGATATAAGCGTAGGAGAAGATAAGAATATGAGTATGAGTATGAGTATGAGTATGAGTACGAGTACGTGAAAAAGAAACAAGACAGCTCACGTCAACTCGAGCAACATATCAATCTCCCTAACATGCGCTCTCCCATGGACCATCCGATCCATCATATTCATCATCCAAGTCGTTCCCTCCCTACAAGGCGTACACTGCCCACACGACTCATGTTTGTAAAACTAAACCCACAATCACCCCGCGTCAGCATCCCATATACACACAAAAAAAAAATCACGAAAAAGCCACCCACCCTCGAAAACCTCGCAATAGCCTCAACCACATCCGTACTCTTATCCATCACAATCACCGCACCCGTCCCCAACCCACTCCCCGCATCCTTCAACGAATCATAATCCATCAACACTTCCCCACTCTTCTCCTGATTCAAAATAGGCACCGAACACCCCCCAGGAATAATCCCCAACAAATTCTCCCATCCCCCCTTCACTCCCCCACAATGCTTATCAATCAACTCCCTCAACGGGATCGACATCTCCTCCTCAACCACACACGGGTTATTCACGTGTCCGGATATGCAGAACAACTTGGTCCCCTGGTTCCGCTCCCGCCCAAACGAAGCGAACCACGAACCACCCCGACGGCAAATCGTCGGAGCTACAGCGACCGTCTCCACGTTGGCCACCGTCGTCGGACACCCAAACAACCCCACATCCGCTGGAAAAGGAGGCTTCAACCTCGGTTTCCCCTGCTTCCCCTCCAAACTCTCAATCAGCGCCGTCTCCTCCCCGCAGATGTACGCCCCCGCTCCTCGGTGGAGGTACACGTCAAAGGCGTACCCGGACCCGCAGGCGTTGGGCCCGAGGAAGCCGGCGGCGTAGGCTTCGTTGATGGCTTGTTGGACGTGGGAGGCTTCTTGGTAGAATTCGCCGCGGATGTAGATGTAGGCTGCGGTGGCGTTCATGCCTCGGCCGGCGACGAGGCAGCCTTCGACGAGTTTGTGGGGGTCGCCGCGCATGATTTCGCGGTCTTTGCAGGTTCCGGGTTCGCCTTCGTCTGCGTTGACGACTAGGTATCGGGGGCTGGTGGAGGAAGGGGAGGAAGGGAAGAGGGGGGAGGGGAATAGCGAGAGAAGGGGACGGGACAAGTCAGTTGAAGATTCGGGATGACCGTCAAGTAAAATCTACCCACCGTTTATCGTTCTGCCAATTAGGCTTATTCATAAAACTCCATTTCAACCCAGAAGGGAAACCAGCACCTCCTCGTCCTCGCAGTCCAGAATCCTTGATAGTCTGAATGATCCATGCGTCCCCTTTGTGAATGATATCTTTCGTACGGTGCCAGTCCCCTCGAGACTGTACAGTGAAGGAGAAGGAGAAAAAAAAAAGGGAAAAAGTATCGTCAATGAAGGACTTGTCGGACTCGTGAGCTCAGTACATACCTGAGCACCCTTGATACCATGATCATGTTTACAATACGCATTGGTGAAAATTCTATCTTGGTCTTTTAGCCCTCCATAGCGTCGGACGGGAGGGACGTCGGTGGCAGTAGCGAAGGTTCGAGTAGCGCGTAGGGGTCGAGGACGGGAAAGTCCTGTAAACAAAATACAGAGCTCAGTCGCTACTTCCGTGAATACGAGTACGAATGAACACTCACCTCGCATAGACGTTTTAAGCATCGTCGACAGCAAGCTGAACGACGGCGACAGCGACGACGACAACGACGAAGAAGTTTTGGGAAGACTTTGGCCGTCGGGTGTGTCGGGAACGCCGGAAGACGCACGGACCACAACACGTCACGAGGTCAAAGCCAATCAAGTTCGTTGGATTTCGGGTCTTCAGTTCTTTTTCGGTCGAGATTTTTGGTTGACATCTGAGAAACGTGAAAGAGTTCCCAGAAGTATAGGCTCTTTTCTACAAAAATTAAAAACGCGAGAGCCCCTTAGAGTACTAGGTCTTGGTTATTCGAGAGCAGTAAGGTCATCAGTATTTTACGCTAGATTCCTGTAATTCCGGCCCGATACCGATTGTTGTGGTCGAAGAGAAAAAAAAATCAAAAAGGAAATTTTCCAAAAAAGGAAAAAAAGAAAGAGAAGAAAGAGACTCTTCGTCTCTCTTGTTGCCTCAAAAGCTTAGTCATAAATGCTTTTCAGACCACTTTCTAATCTTCCTACAATTTTCTTTCTATTTGCCTTCTGTATTGACACCGAAATTTCCATTTGGAAGTGATTTATGGATATCGGGCGAGGTGCAGCGGCTAGCGCTGCCATTTTCAACAGCTGTGGAGCTCAAAGTTTCTAGGCTCATATGTATATATCTAATTGATTTTTCTATATTTTTGCTTGAGGCAGAGCAACTTAGAACGAGGTATGAATGAATTTTTTCAAAATGCTACATATAAGGCAATTCTGATATCGCGCGCTGTGCCCTGGTGACTGTGGGAGCAGGTCACGTGATACTGGCTCGTTGCAAACAGTTTCTTGACCTCAACTCGCTTGCTCGCCTACTCCCACCTGAACTGCACATATTAACTTTGAGGGGCCTATCCATTATCTCTGCATAGAAATGGGCTTGGCCACTGTATGGACCTCATCTGGAAATATTAGGTTCTGATTGCAGTAGTTTTCAACCTTTATTTTTTTCTTATATGCGACTTTCAGGCCAATAGCGCAGAGGGGGGTTGAATGACGGGCTGAGTGGAAGGTGCCTATCTCAACAACATCTTTTCCTGAGATGAATTTCTGATTGAAGCCTGTTACAGTGATTACATTGATTCCGACGGCGATTCAGCCACTGTATTACATTGAATATATCTATGTACAACTATTCGCGGATTCTACGCTATATACAAATACTAATAAATCACGAATTTTCACAATGACGATTCGGATACTTTGATTGAGAGTAATATTCCATACCGAGAAGGTGCATTCAATCTTGAGGAGACAGCAGGAGTAGAGCTGTCTAGATGGGAAAGTCTCGAGGCTCTGAATTTAAACTCCATAGTATAGGAAAACACATTGCATTGTTATGCGTTGAGTGAGACGTCGACGTCGAAGAGAACAGAGCAAATTAGGGTTAGCATTACTCAATCCGGGTATTCTAGGGTTATCGGCAGATAAGATTATTATGACGGCTGTGCAATCGGTATCCGGTATCGGTAACTGCCACATCATTGGATACCGCCCCGTAATTCCGATATGGTGTAGTGGCTAACATTATCGCCTCTCACGCATAGAGATATATCCTAACGTATTGCGCGATAGCCCGGGGTTCGATTCCCCGTGTCGGAATGACTGAACATGAAGTGTCTTCTTTTTTTTTCATACACTTCTCGATTCTCAAAGTCATACGGTATCCATTTACATCTTTCCCGCTATTCCAACCAACTTCTGAATATCCTTCCCGGCAAAAACTCAACTATTACAATTAAGTATAACTAAGTAAAGGACTCGAAGTTCAATCTTCTTGTTACTAGTAATATCTTACTACCCATTTGACTCGCCAAAATACACAATGCCAGGCTCGGGGCAGGTCTCAGGCTCGAAGTGGTGTATGCGTTCTCTCCCTCACCTATCCTTGCCACAGAGTTCACTCCCACATCAGCTCCCCACTTGGCCAATCTTCCTGTCCACCCATTATACCTCCCCAGCCACTCAACCTTCTCCAACCTTAATTTGTATGGTGGCTCCTCCAGCCAGCCTGTTGTGACCATGACCCAGACACCTGTCTTCACCTCCTTGCACCAACTGTGCTTTGGCCACAATGACATCTCCATTGGTGAATCTGGTGACAGACTGACCAAGCAATGGTGCTCAAGCAACTTACCAGCCAAACCCCTGTCACCTCAAAAGCACAATACACTGCCAGAACCTTTGGTATTGAAAGACTGGCATGCATGTCACCATCTGTGGACTCAAGACTGAAGAAATTCTTGAGCAGGGGCTACTGTGAAGGAATACAAGTTGCACCAAAAGGATGTTCTGGAGGCTGGAAACTTTGGCTTCAGTATCCAACATGTCCATTTAGGGGCACAAGTATCTTTGGAATGGATTTCTATGTTGTCATGGATAGCCCAGATGCTTGAGTGGTCAGGAGGAAGGAGATGGAAAGCCCAAGTTCAATTTGCACACTGTATTTAGAAGGAGGATATGATAGCATGGCTTAAGCAGAGGTTCAATGGTATCCCAGTCAGTACTCTATCTTCATTTTTCATTGTTGGTCATCTAATAATCATTCTATGTCTTCAGGAATAAATCTTTCACTCCCTGCTATAACTCTGTATATAACATTCTGGCACTGGACCCTCTATTATATATATTGGGAAAGGAAGGGAAATGAGGGGGAAAATATGCTGATATAATGGCTTTGATTTGATGAGAATACAGGAGTACTATGATTATATATATAACTGATACATTAGGAAAACTACCCTTGGCCCAGTTAGCCTAGGTCCCCTGAAGGTCTCTAGGATTCTGGCCTTAGCCTAGGCACCCCTGGAAGCTTTGGGTAGCCTGGGTAGCCTGGGCAGCCTAGGCTATGGCCAAAATCCTAAAGACCTTTAAGCTCTCTAAGAAATTTTTGAAGTATCTCTGAAGTGTCTTTGAAGGCTCTCTGGGGGTCCCAGGGGATCCTTGGAGCAGAAATATTATAAATCATACAAATAATACAAAATTATATTACAAACACATAGTGAAGTATTAATCTTGTTTAAATACACAAGAGGATCATTTATATAGCTGGAAATATTCGCAGATTTTAGCTTTGAAACAAATCACATGATGCAGTCACTTGAACTGTCTACAATCAAAAAAATTTTCCCATGGTCAGAATATGTTTACTATCAATATAAACCATTGTACATATACTATATACTTATGTATACTGTACTATACTGATATACTGTGCTCAAGTATGTTAGCTTAATGCAAAGCTTATACTAAATGCAATAATATAATAAACCATACTATAAAGTGTAGGTCTGGAATAGTAGGTAAGAAACTATCATTACATATAATATAGTGCAATGCTATAGCTTAAAGGGTTAATGTAGAGGTAGTATATGCAGTGTATGATAGAGTAGTAGATGAATAGAGTAAAATATAATATTATTTTAAATTTATTCTTTGAAGCCTCAGGGCTTCCCAGGGATCATCAGGGAAGCCTCAGGCACTCTCAGAGATCTTCATAGAAGAAACCTCAGGCATCTCCAGGAGCCTCAGGAATTGGGGGGTGTCTCCTGATCACTCCAGCTGACCTGGGCAGCCCAGGTAGCCTGAGTGGCCTAGGCTTATCTGGACTCTCTGAGACTAGCCACTGCTAGCCTAGGCATATGGAACTTTTTCCTGATGTAATACGAAATATATAATATGCAGTTGAGGCAGCAGGATAACAATCCATACCCTTACTCTATACTAGTACCTCAAAAATAGAACTGAGCAATGTTAGTGTAAAGGACTGGTGAAATGACAAGGAAAGGAAGGATTGAGATGGGTCTTAAAGGGGTAAGAGGGGTAAGAAGTAAGGCATTCAAATCAGGAAAAAGGCCCTATATCCCAGGCACATATGGGTTGTTATGGGTTGTCCTCAGGTAGTTTAAGGCTTTTCAGGAGTCCTGAGCTACATAGGCTGCCCAGGATTCCAAGGGACACCCCTCAAATTCTGTGAAGCATGAGAGTCCCTGAGAATCCCTGAGGATCCTTGAGGCTGCCCTGAAGATCCCTGGGGATCTTTCAGGTGTCCTGAGGCTTCAACATATAAATGTGAACTAGTAAAATATACTTTCATCTGTTCTTCTACTTACTCAACTCTATATATCCTACTCTTGTATTGCTTTTAATATACTGTAGCATTGTATTACTGTAGTATTGCATCTTATTATATGTAATGGTTTATTATCACCTATTACTTCAGTTTTACTAGTCAGTTATTATACTTTAAGTACAATTTTACTAATGTAAGCTCTGTATTAACTTAACATACTTGAGTACAATATATTTGTGTAGTACAAAGCCTATACATATGTAAATAGTATATATACAATAATTTATAATAATATTGTGCATGTTTTGACCATGGGAAAATTTTTTTGATTGTAGGGTTCACAGTGAGCTCATCATGTGATTCATAAAAAAAAAGTGAAAACCTCTGCATAATTCTGATCAAATAAATGTTCTGGTTGTGCATTTACACAAGAATAATGCATAACTATATATTTGCAATGTAATTTTGTATGATTTGTAGTATTTAGAATTTTTCTGCTCCTGGGATCCCCAGGGAGCCCTCAGGGACTCTCAGGTTATTTTCAAATATCTTCCAGGGAGCTAGGAATTGGGCTAAAACCTAGTAAGCCTAAGCAACCTAAGCAACTTGTGGTGCCTGAAAGTGCCTGAGGGTCTCCAGGATTTGGCCACTTCCCTGTGTGTCCTCAGACTTCCTGTATTTGCCTGGGAAAAAGGTGTTTTTTTCTGATAAGTTCAGTTGAAGTAAGATAAAACTCTGGCAGAGCTTCATATTGGGAAGGAAATGTGTAGCAAGGAGAACATGCAGATACAATGGCATTGTGTTAGAAAACATCCATTTATTGTCCAGCCACTCTGGCACCCAGTGTCTCATATATGCTTCCATTGAAGTATACATACTGCATAGTTATCCAAGTCCCTCCTCTGCTGAGGTTGTATTGACAGTGCATTGTCTCTTTACACATTAATCTGATGAGGATACAGGAGCCCTAGAGATACTACTGTTGAATAAGTATTCGGTCATTCAAGTTGGCTCAGGGGATCTGTAATAAACGGCAGAGACTCAGAGCCTGAACGAGATAGTCGAAGCGTCTGTATTACCTGTAATAAACAGCAGAGACTATTGTACTGTAAGTAAAGGTAAACGTAGGATAAATGTAGGTACTTGCCTCAGAGCCTGAACGAGATAGTCGAAGCGTCTGAGGCAACAGGGTAAGGGTATCAACATATATATATATACTGTGGGAAGTGAACGGAGCAAGTCGGAAAGTACTCAGGTAGGTATATGTGTTTATACGGTAACGTACTTGTGTCCATGTTTGTATAGGAATGAGCGTCTGTCGGGCGTAAGCATATAATTCAACACTCCCCCTCAAACTGGACCAAGTCCAAATCCTGCAGCAAAATGTTTGGCCTTAGCGCTGGGCAGTGCCTTGGTCAGAGAGTCTGCAATCATTTCCTCCGTCGGACAGTATACGAGAATAATCTTGCCGTCTTCAATAATATACCGGATGAAGTGGTATCGCATATCGATATGTTTGGTACGACCATGGAACTGATGGTCTTTCGAGATAGCGATAGCGGCCTGGTTGTCAGAGTTAAGAATGGTTGGATTCTGAATGAGTGTGAAAGTGGGCTCAAAGATTTGAGCAATGAATGAATGGATCCAAAGACCTTCCTTGGCAGCGTCGGTAGCGGCGACATATTCAGATTCAGCGGTGGAGAGAGTGACCAGGGTTTGGGAATGTGATCCCCAACTAACGGCTCCGCCATCGATAGTGTAGACCCAACCGGTAACGGCACGGCGGTCTTCAGCCATATTTCCATCAGCGTCGACCCATCCTGTAGCGTCATTGGATTTGAGTCCGTAGATGATACCCCAATCATTAGTACCCTTGAGATACTTGATTGTGCACTTTCCTTCATTGAAATGTGCCATTCCAGGATTGGTGAGAAATTGGGATAAGACGTGGACAGCAAAAGCAATGTCGACTCGAGTTCCGATAGAAGCATACATAAGCTTCCCAATGAGGGTACGATACGGAATGTCCTGCATGAGAGCAGCTTCGGCGGGAGTCTGTGGGCATTGCATGATGGATAGACGTTTGTGGGTATCGAGAGGAATCGCAGATGGATGAGAGTTCTCAAGCTTGAATAGGCGAACGATAGAGTCGATGTAGGATTTCTGGGAAAGAGAGATGGTATGAGCAGCGCGGTTGCGTTTGACTTCAATCCCTAGGATCCAGTGAATTTCACCCATATCAGTGATAGTGAAAGCTTCCCGAAGCTTTGTTTTCACTAGTTCAATCAACTCTGGAGAGGAGGCGAGAATTGTCAGATCATCGACTGAACAAATGATAATAATGAGCTGGCCATCTTTGTGTCTATAGAACACAGCGTGATCCACATCGCAACATTCCATCCCCAATAGCGCCTTGATTGTAGCGCCAAACTTGATATACCAGTAACGGCCACTTTGACATAAACCATAGATAGGACGGTTGAGCTTCAAGCATGTAGTGGATGGCGTCGGAGACAGAGGGTAGCCGGGA